TATATATATATATATATATATATATATATAGGCAAAAATGTTCTCCGTGTTTACTATACTCACCCACCCTTGACGGGCATATTCAAACCTAAGAATGTAAATTTGTCCCTTTCCCTCACCAGCTCACTCGTTAAGAGTGCCTAGGCCTTGGGACTCTAGGAGGTGGTTTAAAAGGAGAAAGGAACACACACACAGCCCAAGCCATACGTCCATCCAAAGCGTTCATCGGCTTGAATGTGAGAGATCGATTTTACGTATTTATCAGTGCGAATGTACATTCTTAACATATCAAATGTCCAATTTGATATGTTAGGAATGAATAATATTTAATAATTTGATCTGTTAAGAATGAATGTACATTCTTAACATATCAAATGTTCAAGTGTCCTCCTAGGGTCCCAAGGCCTTGGCACTCTTAACGAGTGAGCTGGTGAGGGAAAGGGACAAATTAACATTCTTAGGTTTGAATATGCCCGTGAAGGGTGAGTATAGTAAACACGGAGAACATTTTTGCCTATATTATTACCTGTGTTGCAACTCCAAATTTATTTTGGAGCAAATCATGTTCAACAATATAGAAATCCTACAGAGTATTGTAGGCGTAGGTTCCTAATAACCAAAAGTACTTGGCGCGGAATATACCTACGTATTTTTAACTATACTTATTTCCTGCATTGTGAGAATGTTCATGACGACGATGAAATGAGTTGTGTGGCACTTGGACATTTGATATGTTAAGAATGTACATTCGCACTGATAAATACGTAAAATCGATCTCTCACATTCAAGCCTATGAACGCTTTGGATGGACGTATGGCTTGGGCTGTGTGCGTGTTCCTTTCTCCTTTTAAACCGCCTCCTAGGGTCCCAAGGCCTAGGCACTCTTAACGAGTGAGCTGGTGAGGGAAAGGGACAAATTTACATTCTTAGGTTTGAACATGCCCGTCAAGGGTGAGTATAGTAAACACGGAGAACATTTTTGCCTATATTATTACCTGTGTTGCAACTCCAAATTTATTTTGGAGCAAATCATGTTCAATATATATATATATATATATATATATATATATATATATATATATATATATATATATATATATTTATATATATATATATATATATATATATATATATATATATATATATATATATATATATATATATATATATATATGTGTTACGTAAATGTGTCATGTTATGTAAATATTTTGACAATAAATTTTGTAATAACAATGATGTGTATTACAATGATGTTCCACCTGGGGGTGCAGGAGGGGCATTATTATTGCATAATATAGTATTTGTGAGTGGGAGTCTAGGATCGAAAATTTTTGTGAATGATTGTGTCACTTTCATGAAGCCAGTTTTGTTTTATACTGTCATCAGGATGCTTCCCAGATCCCTTACAGCCATGCTGATTCCAATTATTTCCCAAAACCGGGGTTTGTACCTTTGCTATGCACCCTCAAAAATTTAGGTATGGAGCCATCACTGTCTTTAGACATAGGAAAATATTTGCAACACAACAACAGAATGCTTCCATGAACCTCTTAATTTTAGCCCTCTATTAGGATTTAGAAAAATATTGTATGTGAAGGAGTAGAATGCTAAAAGAGCTGAATAACACAGTATTCTATTACACTAAATACTCTTTTATACCAGAAGAACCTTCCATTGCCAGGAAACCTGTCCAGGTCCATTAACATATTCTGACAAAAGATCCCTGACCATACTAGCATGTCTTGTGTGATTCATGCCTGGTGCTACTAAAGATTCCAAATTACCTTCTCCATTCTGTCTCCACTCACCATCAATCACCTCACCATCTTCTTTCACATAATCCAGAGATCCTTTAGGAATGTAAACTGATGGCCATTTTCGGATCAAAAAGTTATGCAATGCAATACATGCATGGATAATGGCGATCGCATTTTCGGGTTTGACAGAAAGTGTGGTATGGAATACTCGAAATTTTGAAGAGAGAATGCCAAATGCATTCTCACTTACTCTTCTTGCACGAGATAATCTGTAATTAAAGATTCTCTGTTCTTCACTCAATCCTCTCTTTGGGTATGGCTTCATATTACACAGCAAAAAATCATTTTCTGAAGAAAATATAATTTTCTTATTTTGAGAATTAATTTCTTAAAACAAGAAAACTTTTTTAAAACAAGAAAACCGTTTCTTAATTTAAGAAATCAACGAATTATAAGAAATGTTTTCTTAATTTTTCTTAAAACAAAAAATTTCTGAATTTGAGATATTTCGAGAAAAACCTTGCTTAATTGGGTTTTTACAGTCAGTAAAGTTATAACATGAATTTTTTGTAATATCCTATAAAACTTTATCAAATTAACAAAGTAATTAAGATATAAGGAAAATTTTCTTAAAATTGGGCATTTTATTTTTCGAATTTCTTAAACTAAGAAATTATACAACAATAGCCATATACTAAAATAAGAAATATTTTCTTAAACAAGAAAGTGCTAGAACATGATCAGAATTTTTTTCAAATAAGAAACAATATTTGCACCAATAGCCATATGTCAATTTCCTAAAATATGAAAGGGTGTCTTAAATAAGAAACTGCCAGGATATTATAGGAAATTTTCTTACAACAAGAATTTAATTTTCCAATTTTCTTTAGATAAGAAATAATAGCCATTCTTAGAATAAGAAACCCATTACCCAATATATAGGTGCTATATTGGGGTGGTATAATTGTCAAGGTAAATACAATCTTTTGAGTTTGGACACAAGGGGTATATACCAATATTATCAAATCATGTGAAACTTGTCTCCTTGAAAGATCTTAGTACATAATGGTACTGTTCTTAATTTGCATGCCAACAACCGTCCAGTCATGCAGTCTAATATTTAAGTGGGTTGTACCTTTTAAATGCTGTTCCATCAAATCAAGTATGTCATATTTGACTGGCACATACATTTCTCCATCATTGTCTTCATGCTTGTGAAGAACATTAAAGTCCACTAAGCTTTCATACGCACAAACCTTTGTTTCAACTTCTTCAGCGGTCTTCACATGGTAGGCCTGGAATTTCTCACTAAAACAAAGTGTGTCCAATGCCGTGAATTCAAAGTAGATAAAGTCACTTATTATCCAGATGACAGATATGGTTCCAAAGTTTGGTCTAACCAAATCTTCATTGACACTGCAGATAAAAATACCACCACTTAAACTTTGTCCCATAGCAAGACACCCAAGTAGTCTTGTAAACATTCTGAAGTTGAATGCAAGGTAGTAAGCCAGAAACATCTAACTTTTGACGCAAATTTCTTTTTTGCTGTCCACTAGCCAAGGTCAATGATCCAAAGATTTTTTCAGAAGTCAACAGTGGGTGTGATTGTGGAGATTCATTGAAATCAGCAAAATTTCCACATTCTTTGAACTGACAGCGCTCAGCTAAAGACTTCGAGAGGTTCTTAAAGTTCTGTTTACGAGCTATATCCTTGAAGTAGTTATGTGGAGACTCAAAGGCAAAACATGAATGGCGAATTAGGGGTCCAAGTTCCTTTATCATTGTTGGGATGTGTATCATGTAGTGTTGTTTGGGGATGTTTACGTCGGGAAACTGTTCTTTGAAATTAGCAAGGTGTTCACCAATCTTCAATTTCAGCAAATTGATTGTTGGTAAGGTGATGACTGGTGAAAATATGATCTGACAAATTTCAATTAGTTCTGTGATCAAGGAATATAAGTCATGATCATCATTGGGACGAAGTGGACACAATATGAATGGCAACAATCGAAGAAATAGCCTTGCTTGAGCTGCCTTGTACTTCAATTTGTATCCCTCATTGCCCATGAACACAGATTCCCTTAAAGGACCTGGCTTGTCTGCAATTTCACTGTAGCCATAATTCTGACTAACAATTGCGGCATTCAAGGCACACAATGTAAAATGACCCTGAGAAATATAAATCCCAAGATATACCGGAGTTCATATTGGACCACACCTTCTAATAGAGTGTGCATTATATCTTGAGGCAGTTGCTTAGTAATGTCAAACGAATGAAGATCACAGAGGAGGCTGCGGTTGGTGATTCCATAAGTTGTTCCCAGGTCATTCTTTTGTTGTTCTGTTGGAGCTTCCCTAATTTCCCGGCATTGACGCTCATAGCTTTCTTTTGTTCTAGAAACAAAATCTTTCTCATAGAAACTTTGCTGCATAACTTCAAAATGGCACTGGCAATGACGACATTTTTGGAATGCAAAACCAACACCAACTTTGTATCCTCCCCACTCGTGTTGCCCTTCAGTGTCACCTGCACAGCTTACAACTTTCCCATAAACAAGTTTCTCTACGCCATTAACAGGGCAAACAAATCCATGTTCAATTTTCTTGAGATCTTCAATAATTGGTTTTAAAATGGCATTATACCATATTTACGAATTAATTTTGCATTCACAATTGCTAACAATCTAACAGCACAGTGTCTGGACCTCAATTTAGGATTTAAATTTCCTAAAGTGTAGTAGAACATATCTAACTTATGTTTTCCTGCTTGACTACCGAGGGGATTACACACTTCCACAGCATCATGGTAAATTATTATTTGAAGTGCATCCGGATGTTCAAAGAAAAAGTGATCAGATTTAAATACTTTCCCGTCACAAATATCATAGAAGATGTCGGCTCCGCACATTGATTAGGTTTCCGAATAACAACTTTTGCTATCTTTTTGTTTGATAACAATTGGCAAAGGCTCTCAATTAGTGGTATATACTGGAAAGTCTCTTCCTTTTCAATAAGCAATCTTTTATTCTTGGAATTCTTTCTTGAGATTTTTTTCCCCAAAACAATCTCTTTAGTATCAACATAGTTTAGGTGTTTCTTTATATATGATGCTTGTAAATAATTTGTTTCCAAAGATGAGAAAGGGCTTGGAATTTTACCAAACAAGTCAGTAATAGTTTGTGCAAAATCATGTCCGGGTTCATGAGATTCCCAGGCTTGAATAATATTTTTCTTTACAAGTTCCAAGGCACTATTCATTATTGTGGATGTACTCTCAATAATGTTATCAAGAGCCACCTAAAGTGAAGGTTTGTTTGTGTTAAACTATGAAAATAATGGCTTAATATATACTATCTGTGGGAATGCATTCCATGGAAATAAATCAAATGCAATAATTTATAGCAAGTGAATAAATGGAATCCCTATTAAAATGCACGACTCTCCTCTTGACAAATAAATAATTTTGTGTTAGACAAAGTAAAAAATAAATGGAAGAATTCAATGCTGCTAATATTTTATTTCTTTTTACTCTGCGTAACATCTGACGATTTTACTTGTGAGGGATGGAGCCTCCAATTTGTGAGTTAAGTTGCCAGGCATTTAGAAAAAATGCAACTAAATGAGCTAAACCCACTAACACAAACAAGTTTCCTAACCTGTGTAATACGGTTTCTTTCCTTCACCTTTAACACAAAAAGAGCTTCATTTTGACGAAAATCTAAGTTCTAAATAAAAGAGAAAAATATGTGAGAAAGTTCACAAATCGATCACCATCAAGATGATTTATAGTAAATATTATGTTAACTTACTGACTGTACTTGCTACTCAACCACTGATAAGATAAATGGCCTGTCATTAGACAGAGTACTAAAGTACTAAGAGGGAGCACATCTGGGTGCATAAATGGCCCCTAATAGGAAAATATTTATCATTAGCTTTCTATAGGGTTAGATGTGGGGCTGGTTGTTCAAAAACATTTAATCATGTCTACATTCCTAATAAGGCAATGAGCTGAAAGCCTGAAATAAATCCAAATAATACACTTTTAATTTCTAATTAAAAGTATATAAATTATATAGCATTATTAAAGTGATTTTGTAATAGCACAAGACAAGTTACACATTTGAGGTAAACGACTAAATTTTTAATGCAAACATGTTTTGGCTTACACTAAGCCATCCATCATAAGTGCAAACTGAGCTAAGAATATTTACAGCAGGATATGTGATACATATGATAGAAATATTAGGTTACAAAGTGATGCTATTAAACTAACCTCAGCAAGGGGATTTCCACACTCATTTTCATTTTCACTGTCCTCACTGTAATCCAGCAAAGAATCAGTACTTCCAGTGCCAGAAGAAACTCCTTCGTTAATATTCATATTGAAGTTTTCATCATCACTATTGCTATGCACTGGTTCAGTCCGAGAAATGGATTGACATAGGCTTCCATTTAGACCTTGACACACCACACACCGTTGCTTCATTTAAGGCATCGTATTCCTGACTATGATTTCTCACAACATGCTTATAAAACGAATGGTACCTTCTATATGTCGCAGGACAACCATTTACATGGCATCTGACAAAAAAATTTGGACTATTACTGTGTACTGTGTAGTAGTGGCCCATCAATGCTCTGAATGTAAGAGCGACGAATGCAGTACAAATAAAACATTTCCAAGTCGTTAGTGACTGGATTTCGGCATCCATTCCTGATTCCTTGCCAAGCGGCCACTTTAATTTCCTATAAAACCCTTCTGAACGTCTATATTTTACTCGTGGCTTCGCGAACCTGAATGTATGACGCGCGGATTAATTCTTTATTACAAATATTAAATATTTATTCTGATATTTTAAATATAGATTTGTTATTTCTAAAATTTACGCTAATATTTATAAAATATTTGCCAATCTGTCAAATACGTCCCCTATTTTTTAATGTATCCTAATTACAAATTTTTATATATGTCCTAATTGTGATTTAAAATATGTCCCAATTATAAATTCAAATATGTCCTATATTTAAATGCGAATTTAAATATTTGCCCATCATTCTCTATGGTTGTTAACAATTTGCGCGTAGTAAAGAATGCCTCGAACAATAACGAGAGAACGAAATGAACGAGGACTTTCTACTTTTCTGGATTCCATTCGTTCCCTCTTAATCAGTGTTCAGAATTTAGAAGATACCTATTGTTCGACTGAAGTTATTGAAAACCTGCTTTTACACCTGGAGGAGAGTGCATCAACTCTTGTTCTAATTTCCACACATGCTGGATTAAACGCTCATGACGCTGTTCTCAATAGTTTCAAGAATGATATTGATGCAGTGTTGGCTAAAATAAGATCATTGTGTCGAATGTTAACAAATTACGTGGATGATTCACAAGAAGGTCAACTTCACTTTAGCTACACAGCACCCTTATCAGTGGCAAAAGGTCCTGGTCGCCCAGCTGTTGTAGTAAAGTGTGAGCAAATTCTATTTTTGAGAGAACTGCATTTTTCCTGGGCAAAAATAGCTAGTTTGCTTGGTGTGAGTGTGTCTACTCTTAATCGCAAGCGAAACGAATTAAATATACCGGATGAAGATGACTCTTGGACGACCATATCAGGTAATTAATTGGGTAATTAATTGGGAATATTAATCTCACTTACCTAGCTCAGTAAACTGCAGTTGATAGAATAAACATAGTTTGGAGACCACCTAAAACTACAATACAACTTATTAACAGTGTTGGACAATACATAGTTAATGAGTTGTATTGTACTTTTATTTAGTCTCGAAACCATGTATATTCCATTAACTGTGAGTAAACTAAGTAACTAGGTTAGATGTTCACAACTTTCCTATGGAAACTTGTTTTGTTTAACAGATGAGCGACTGGAAAGAGAAGTGGAAGAAATAAGAAGTCTAACTCCTAATATTGGTCAGAGAAGATTATTGGGCGCATTAAGGGCAAGAGGAATAAAGATTCAAAGGAACCGCGTTCGCGAATGCTTACGAAGAGTAGATCCCCTTGGAACGTCTTTACGTTGGAGTGGAATCATATATAGACGCAAATATTCAGTACCAACACCAAACTCACTCTGGCACATAGATGGCAACCATAAGCTTATCCGTTACAGATTGGTTGTGCACTGTTGCATCGACGGTTATTCCAGGCTATTAATTTATGCACATTGTGCTACGGACAACAAGGCTCAAACCGTCCTTGAACAATTTATGCACGGAGTGTCCACGTTTGGTTTACCATCAAGAGTACGCAGCGATCATGGGCTGGAAAATATCGAAGTCGCTCGATACATGTTAAGAAATCGTGGCGTAGCCCGTGGAAGCATAATAACGGGAAGTTCTGTCCACAATTGCCGCGTCGAAAGGATACATAGGGACGTATATGCAGGTGTTTTAACTTTCTATGCTAAACATTTCAACGATCTAGAAGAAATGGGAATTCTGGATCCAATGAATGAGGTAAACCTGTTTGCTTTACACCACGTCTATCTACCACGAATAAGGCGGTCTTTAATGGAATTTATACAACAATGGAACAATCATTCTGTTTCTACCGAGAGAAACCTCACGCCATTGCAGCTTTATACAGCTGGCATGCTCAACAATATGTATTCCGGCCATACAGCAACCGAAGAGATGTTTCGTCCTGAGGAACTAGTGTTTTATGGGATTGATGGAGATGGTGCGGTACCTCTCGAAGACGAAGATTACCTGTTCCTGCACTTAATGTGACACTGACAGCATTTCAGATTGAACAGTTGCACTTGGAGTGTCCTCCTCTTCAAGAAGACAGAAATGGTGGAACTTCTAATTATCTAAGATCTTTAAATCTACTACAAACATTTCTGGGCAGTACCAATTGAACGTATTTATTGCAGGGGCGCCTCCCTTAATTGTATTGAATGAAAAGCGTTTATACACAACATATTCTTTATTAAAATGCATATCAGTAAATATTAATATCACCACCATACATGAAGGTTATACGTGTAGTTATATGCCTAACAGTAACAATACAGTACCTGTCATATTAAAGATGACTGTTTACTGTCAAAAACCCCTTAACAAATATTATGTTTAAACCAAAACTGTAAGTTAAATTTCAACAAGGATCGATATTCTGTTACGAAGTTATGTCATAAAGTTTTAAGAAAGTCGAAATGAATTAAACAATGTTCATTTCCCAACTATCCGCAGAAAGGATACTACTAAACTCCTCTCGAAGTTCACAGAAATTTGCGTACGTGCTTGGGAGTTCAAGGGTACATCCACACGTGTGGCTGACAGGTCTACGAGCAGCGCCAGTAATTTTACTGAAACTGACTTTAATTTCATCGGTAACAAGGATATCTGATGCTGTAATAAAACGCAAGAATGCGCATAATTTGCTTTTCTCCAGTCCTCTGACGTATTTCTTTAGGTGATTGAATGCTTCTCTCTCTGCATCGTTTGTGATATCTGCATGCAGCATGTTGACCACTTTCGCATTTGTCGGCTCACGACTTTTGTAAAATTCCACAAGGTCGTCAATGGTTGGAAAATAGAGCTTCAACTGAGAAACAATATCAGCCCAGCAATCTGACACGTATTTTGGTCTCTGAATTAGTTCCTTATGGGCTAACTCCTGGATAATGTCAGAAATGTTATCAAGAGTTACCACTCTTCTGCAATCAAAATTGCTTAGGAAGTCCTCTAACTCTTTACTATCTAGCGGGATCTCTTTTGATAAAGCCTGCTCCACAATTCCTGCCTCATCCTTGGAAACATAACGTTTAAATGACGTTAACAACATAGGAACAGTGACAAAGGCTTCATCAAAAAATACACTGCCAATGAAAGCCCTGCTGAGCTGCAATGGAAAGTAGGAACAATCTTTAAAACCTTTGACCAAAATTCTTGCAATTGCTTGCCATGTTTCCTTGTTATAGTCATGTCTGATGAATGGCACTCTCTCCTCCTCCCCAATCAACGACGAGTCTGCAAATTCGGACCAAAACAGTGTAAATATTTCCCTCATCACTCCAGTTCCACGACCGACTTCTTCCTCTCCTTTGGCATTTATTATTATGCCAAATAATGGCTGAGACATCACTGAATCATCAGAAAATATCTTGATTAAATCCTTTCTTATCATGGTCCGATGAACCTTTATAATGAATGGGTCAGAATCGTGAGGTGGGGGCATCATTGGTGTTTGGTGATCTTCAACAGAAATGATGGAAATAGGGTCATCCTCAAATGGCACTGGAAAGTGGCGGTCATCAAGGACTATTTCACAAGTGGGGGAAACAGCTGGAGCATCATGTTCTAGGAATCTCTCAGAGTCATTGAAGCTGGTGACTTCATTTGATGTTAGTACATTATCAAGAGAGTTTTCAGTGATTGCTACATCATCATCAACCCAGTTACTAGATCTTTGTGTCAAAAAAGCACTATCACCACTTGAGCCTTGATTGGGTGTGTCAATGGACACATTGTCATCACCAGATGCTGTTGCAACAGTGGATATGCAGCACGTAGTTGCAAAAGAGGGATGCATTAGTATTTCATCTGTATTTTCGTTGTCACTGTCATCCATTTCCGTGATACTTCTGACATAAATATTCCCTTGTCCAGCCATTTTAATTAATACATTTGTTGTTACCTCCACTCCATTAGCCAAATTCGGTTTGACTAAAGTACCATAACAAGCCTAATAAAAAGAATACTTGCGTAAATATAACATTCACTAGTAGTTTAATTATCTGTTGTTAATTAAGATGTCTCAATTTTATGTAAGTTGTCTGTTGACAATATGAGCCTGCAAGAGTGGCAGAAATTTAGCTAATGTGGACAAGGGTGCTCCCCACCTAAATTTTGCTCTGATGGCCCTAGGCTTGTACATTTTGGTGTCATGTGAAATTAAATTGTAATGAATGTTTTTATAGGTGCAATGATAAGAATATTTTAATTAGGTGAACATAGAACTCTCCATTTCACCTTATGAAAATTTTCCTAACATTGCACACATGAAAACATTCATTGTTAGTATAATACAATGGTCAGATTCTTATTACTCATTAGTTATATTTAGTAATTCTCAACACTGAGCATGACTAAACATAATCATGTGTAAACATGCCAATCAAATACACACTATTGATTACAGTGCTCTGTACTCAGTGGTTCAATTTGTCAATTTCATGGAATCATCCATAGTCTTGAGGTTTTTCCATACCTCAAGCTATATGATGCTAAAATCTAAATATATGACTTTTATTATGGATGTATAATAAATAGGGGTGTACTCTGAGCTGTAGCTAGACCGCTTAATTGGGGGTGTATATTCATATAGCCATGTTTATATACCATAGGAACAATAGCGTACAAAAGAAATCATTCCGGCATAAGATGAACATAGTAATATGCACCCCCCCCCCCAATTAAGCTTCTAGCTAAAGGTACTACAGTATATACAGAATATAGACCTTAATTTCCTTTAAATACGTTGCAATTGAGTGAAATTGCTGTTATCGTTTTATAAACGTCTATAATTAACCATAATATTAAAAGCCATAATTATTTGTCATTACCTTTACAAATTCAAATTCTATCCCGTTTGGCAAGACTTTGCCAACCTCCTCCTTTAGGGTCTCGGCCGACCACGATCTTTTGAACGGGAATTCGTGAATGACAAAATTTTGCTCTTCTAGCACTAATCGCTTCTTGTGCGTCGGAACTTCGGTCTCTTTAGGATCCGGAATGAATACAAGGTCCTTAAAAACAACGTCGTTACACCGTCGACCTCTTTGTGCTTTCTTGTTGTTCCGGTGTGAAGTTAATGCGGGTGAATTAGACTTTCGTTTTCGTGATCTCGTCGCGTTTACGGTGGGGAACCGTTCCGCTAGCTCTTGCTCCAAACTTGAGTTGCTTGTTGATGGAACGAAAACATTCGACATTCTATTTGGAATGGATGCAGAAATGGGGTTGTTCGTTTCGATACGATCGAGAATTCCTGTTGAATTTACATTGCTCAGAATTTGCAGCGCCTCAGCGGCAGTGCGACAAGCTTTAGATAGGTTTGAGCCGTTTGACATTTTAACAGGAAAGTGGCGCGTGAAACTGACAAATTACAAATACTCAATAAAATCATAACATTAGGACATATTTGAATTTATAATTGGGACATTTTATTTTAAATCACAATTAGGACATATATAAAAATTTGTAATTAGGATACATTAAAAAATAGGGGACGTATTTGACAGATTGGCAAATATTTTATAAATATTAGCGTAAATTTTAGAAATAACAAATCTATATTTAAAATATCAGAATAAATATTTAATATTTGTAATAAAGAATTAATCCGCGCGTCATATGAATGATATTACATTAAAAGTATGTAATGTACTAATGTTTTGAAAATATTTGATATTTCATTATTCGAGTGCTTCCATTTAGGAGATAAGATTTCGAAATTTAAGATAAATTTTCTAAATTTTTTATCAGATTTCCTATGACGGGTATTTAATATTCTCTAAATTTTACGCGCGATTTTTTTAGAAACATATATAAAATATAAGATGTATAAAATATCTCGAAATATATATTCTTTCGGTATTCTTAGAATGCCCTTAGAATTTCAAAACAAGTGGAAGCGCTAATTTTTGACCAGCACTATTTTTCAAAAAAGGAAGCGAACGGAATTGTGGGAAGAATTGCCAACATCTGCATATCGCACGCTTTCAATTGTGTTGTGATCATTGTCCCGGGGGATTTGAATTTTCGTTTTGGGAAGTTTATTTTAATCTCTGAGAACGAAGAAATCATGAATATTGAAGGCAAGTCCCTCTTCAATAGAATTAAAGATGCGTCTAAAGAAATCGGGCATATTTTAGAAGGTACGTGTAAAGTGATTCAATCCAAAGATATAGGCAAAAATTAGCGACTAAAATCTGTTCGTATATTTTGAAAGTGGTTACAGTATGTTAACCTGTTTTATTTACTAGCTTTATTTTACATACATAGATCATAGATGCGCTTTTAAAAAGCCAACCGTATCTGGGGGAAGGTTTTCTGAGTTGGAAGATAAATGCCAACTGAACATAGCCTTTACTAGCTTACTTTATATCAGATCCTTGAAATTCAAATCGTTATTGAGTTTTAGGCTCTGTTTTTCTTTAAAATGTGTATTTCTGTTTTACTGTAGCGAACGAAATAGTAGAAACAGAGGACATTCAGCAGCTGTGTTATGAAGCCCTTTCTGAAATTTTCCCCGGTGGAGGGCGGACATTGCTACAACGATCGAAAGTATGGAAAATCATACAGGCATCCTTAAATGTGAGTTACTAAATTACTATAATTTGTGTTGAATTGTGTGGCCATTTTATTGATTTTAAAGAAATTTCCAAGGTAGTTCAAAGGGGTATTGCTTCAAAATCACTGTTTGGTGATATACATAAGAGCATAGACTTGAGTACTTGGTCTAGTATTTTGGTTATTCTCTTCAAAATCAAATATAACTGCAACATTTCAATCATTGAAATAAATTATAAGAAATAATGAAAGATATAGGGCAACATGATTGTTATTTAAAGCAAAATGTTGTATTAAGTATTAAGTTGCAAATAACATCACCCAAAGAGATTAAAATAATTTATTAAATTTGCTTGAGAGTAAAGAATGGTGCATGCATTTGCACTAAGGTGCAAACAACTCTAAAAAATGCTGGTTTTGTTTCATTTAAGGATGACAACAGTTCTATTTCCTCAAAGCCGAGCACATCAACTATCCGTACTTCTTCGCCAGCACCATCATGTGAAGACTCAAGTTTTTTATTGATGATGTTGAATGTTCACCAATTACCAAGCTCAAATCTACATCACCTGGCAATAATAACTTAACTGCTGGTGACACAACTGATCTTTTACCTACCCCTAAAGATATTCAGAGTCATATAAAACCATCGGTGGTAAATGCCCCTACTTATACGTTTTATTCGGATCTCCATATTCAAGCTGCAGTTCGTGAAGGGAAGATGGATAAAAAGATACGAGAGAGGTTGATACGTGTTACCATTAATAACATGGTATCAGCTTCTTCAGTTCCACCGTTTAACAGATTCCCCACTTCAATAGAAATTTCAGAGATGGCTAAATCTTTGATTATAGCCTACCCATGCCTAAAAGATGAGGAGACTGGTCATGTAAGTAACTAGTGTGCAGTAACTACATGATATAATTCCTATTATGCATGCCTAGAACACATTGATCTTTTGCCTAATACATCATGCATGTCTGTCCAAACACCACAGCACTATTTGGTAGTGTCCTTGCCCAATAGTTTTTCCCTATTCTTGTATAAACACTTCAAAGGTTGAACTAACAATGTTAAAGGTTTGTAATTTATTTATGTTAATAAGGTTAAGTTACTTAATGTAATTATTGTTTTATTTTCACAGTGTGTGGTACTAAAAGCACTAAAGAGGAGGCTTAGCAACACCAAGCCTGTAATGAAGCCACAAGGACATTGTCCTAATAAAAGAAAATATTCAAATGGTGAAATTAACCAAGGAGTCGAAGCTGAGACAAAGAAGAAAAAGACTGGTCCACAAAAAAATCAGGGTGATGATCTCGAGATCTTGAAAACTACAACTGATAGCTGTGAGAATGAGGGCATTTGTGAGAAAAGTAAGAACCTTGCTACCGGTACCTGTACTATGCTCTACCATACATGTTAGCTGCTAGTCCAGTGTGTACCGGTATATAGTTTTTCTTCTTATTGTACTTGAATAGGTGACCCTACCGATGGCAAAGAAGTTATGAAGCGACACTATGCTGCTTTGATGAAAGAAGTTGAAAAAAAAAAGCCAAATGTAGCTGTTGTGAATTCCTATTTGAACAAAGAGTATAGTGCAAGGCGGAGTTGGCTGCAAGCTATGTCTGCTGGCGAAAGGGTTGAAAAACTGATGGATGTATATCCTTGTTTTAAAGACCATATTGAGGTATATGATTTGTACAGCTAAAGTTAGTAAGAATGATGGCTTCAAAATGTTTCTAGTTCAAGCTTAAGTTCTTCAAGTATGTTTTGTAGATACTCATGAAAAAGGTTTAGTTATTGTCATAAGTTTAATGAAGTTATTTCTTACAGATAATCGAAGAAGCCAGACGAGTCTTGGGTGTCGAGAGTTCTGGAGATAGAGAGGAATTTAAAAACCAGTGTATTGGATTGTTAGCTGATGAAATTGAGCCCATAATATACTATGGTATAAATAAAGGAATAAGCCCACCAAAAAGTCCAAAGGCAAGTAAGTTTATTTTGGCGATTTAGTTTAATTTTTTCCTGCTCTGTTTTCCTTTACTCTGTCTAACATCAAGTAACTCTACTCACCAAGGCAGTGCCTTATTTGTGACTTCAATAAGAGTGAGAATACAAGTCACAACTTATTCAGTACTTTTACATGGAAAGATATTAAATTGATTTTCTTGTTATAGACTCCAAGATTCTGCATGTTTTGCAAAATTTACCTTATATATTCAGCGCAAAGAAGCAGCCCAAGAAAGTGTTGGACCTAGTATACAAACTAAAGGTTTGTTCTTTTTTTGAAAAAAATCATCTCTGTATGGTTGACCTACCTAATACACCTACTTTTAAAATACGCTTTTATTTATAGGTTTTATTTTGTACTGTATCTATATAATATATTTGAATGCCATTTCTTTCAAAGGACCATGAAGACCCTGAGGCCTGGTGCTCAAAATGTTCCGGTAATGTCCCTGTCCTCCTGATCGAAAGAACTAGGTGCTACCTTATTATTGGAAAGAAGATGGTTGCGGAGTTGGACGAGGAAAAGCTGAATGAAGGAGTTCTTGCTTTGTTGGCAAGTTTTTATCTGCTTGACTTTGATTATCCCCGCTTTCATGAAATGGGTTTGACCTTTCTTCACCAATATATATTTAAGGACATGATTGTTCCAACAGATATCAAGCCCTGCTTTGAGTTAGTACTAACTGATTATAAGAATTTCAAGTCGAACTAGAACTTCACAATGAATTGCTTCTGATAATACCTATTTTTAAACATATTCTTTAATAATGTAACAATGCAGTCTGTATGCTTATGTTAAATATAGAATTATAAATGAAAAGCATCGGGTGTCCTTTGTTTATGAAGAGAATGTTAATGCATGATTGCTTGCATTTTATAAATAATAAATCCACAGTTGATCATACTTATTTTAAGAAAATTGATATGCATGATGAAAAAAGAATCATAGAAATCCAAGAAAAAATTTCTTGTTTCCCCCTCAAAGTGAGAAAAAATTTTAAGAAAAGGTTTCTCAAAAAAAATTTTCTTGGGAGATCTTAAGAAAAAATTTCTTCCCAAGTATTTCTTAAGAACATTTTTCTAGATTTAAGAAAAAAATTCTAAAGAAAAAATATCTTAAGAAATTTCATTAGAAAATATTTCTTACCATTCTCCCAAGATTTTTTTCTCAAAATAAGAAAAAAAATCTTAATATAAGTTTTTTTTTCTTAAATTAAGAAATTGATTTTTTGCTGTGTAACATTTGGTGTTAAACTAAAGGCATCATCACCAACAAAAAAGTGTGGTAAAACTGGGCACCAGCCATCTACAATCATTGACTCAGTTGCTGGAAGGGGCTTCGATTCTGGAATGTTGAGCTTATTAGACTGCAGTGCTTTATAGAAGATAGTGTTTCGCAAAACGCCTCTATCACTAATACGGCCTTGGCATCCAACATCCGCAAAAATGAACTCGGAATTTGGACCCACCACTGCCATTAGCACAAGGCTATAGTAGCCCTTATAGTTAAAGTAGTCTGAGCCACTATTTGGAGGATGTAGGATTCTAACATGTTTTCCATCTATTGCCCCCAAACAATTTGGTAACTGCAATCTCCAATGAAAAAGTCTGCTTATTTCCAACCATTCATTAGCTGTTCTTGGGCATGACACAACGTCACGAAGAACAATAGAAAGGGCTTTGCAAACTTTTGGAATGATAAGGGACAATGTTCCTTTGTTAATTCGGAACTGGTACTGTAAACTGGTGTAGGACTCCCCTGTTGCTAAAAACCGAAGTGTTACTGCAAGTTGTTCACTTGGTGATATAGCATCTCTCATGCAAGTATCCTTTTTCTTCAAAAGAGGATGTAACTTCTCTACTAACTGCTCAAACGTATCAAGGTTCAACCGCAAATAGTTCAAGAAATGCTCAGGGTCATTCTTAAGATCCTTTAATAAACAGTGAAATGCTCCAAGTGTTTTCCTCGTGGCTATCCAACTCTTTATCCAAACAGTTCGTCGTTTTCTCCTCCTTACTCGTCGACGAGCAATTTGGACTGCAGCGATAAATAAACTGAAAGCCTCAACTACTTCGTCCACTTCCTCCATATCAAGTTATTTCAGACATTTTTGAACCTTACATCATTTTTTGCACATTACATTTCATTTTGAAACATCGACGATTTTGTTTTGGTTTTTAATTTATAACAATTTTCACAAATGCGCAATGCGCATGTTTTAACAAAACACCGCTGCCCGCTATCAGAAATTACATAAATTTACCTGTGAAATCGTAACAAAATCGCCATTAAATTGCACGTAATTGCACGTAGTTTACACGTGCAAATTTAAATCGCCAAAAAAATTGCCGCCCAAATCGCTGTAAAAATCGCCAAAAAAATCGCTCGTGTAAACGGGCCTTTATAATGTTTTATCGCAGATTTTTATTGTCAAATGTTTTACCAAATCTTTACTTATTTGATCATATTTAGGATATTATTCATGATAAATGATGGTTGCCATGGCAACTATTATCATCATTTTGATGTTAATGATCAAAATTAACATACTAATCATAATAAATTATGGTTGCAATTCCAACCATGATGATCATTATGATGAACTTGATCATATTTAGCATTTTATTCGTGATAAATGATGGTTACCATAGCATTAATAATTTCATTTTGATGATCTTGATCATATTTAGCATATTATTCATGATAAATGATGGTTATAATAGCAACCATAATTTTCATTTTGATGATCTTCATCATATTTAGCATATTATTCATGATAAATGATAGTTACAATGGCAACAATGATTTTCATTAGGATGATCTTGATCTTATTTAGCATATTATTCATGATAAATGATGGTTACAATGGCAACCATAATTTTCATTATGATGATCATGATCATATTTAGCATATTACTCAGGAAGAATGATGGTTACTATAGCCCACCAATTTTCATTATGATGATCTTAATCATATTTAGCATATCATTCATGATAAATGATGGTTGCTATGGCAACTATTATCATCATTTTGATGATAATGATCAAAATTAACATAATAATCATAATAAATTATGGTTGCAGTTTCAACCATGATGATCATTATGATGATCTTTATCATATTTAGCATATTGTTCATTATAGAGGATGGTTACCATGGCAACCATAATTTTCATTATGATGATCTTGATCATATTTAGCATATTACTCAGGAAAAATGATGGTTACAATAGCAACCATAATTTTCATTACGATGATCTTGATCATATTTAGCATATTATTCATGATAAATGATGGTTGCCATGGCAACCATTATCATCATTTTGATGATAATGATCAAAATCAACATATAAATCTTAATAATTTATGGTTGCAATTTCAACCATGATGATCATTATGATGATCTTGATCATATTTAGCATATTGTTCATGTCAAATGATCGTTACCACGGCAACCATAATTTTCATTATGATGATCTCGATCATATTTAGCATATTATTCATGATAAATGATGGTTACTACGGCAACCATTATCATGATTTTGATGATAATGATCAAAATTAACAGATCATTATGATGATCTTGATCACATTTAGCATATTATTCATGATAAATGATGGTTACCATGGCAACCATAATTTTCATTATGACGATCTTGATCAAATTTAGCATATTATTCATGATGAATGATGGTTACCATGGCAACCATTATCATCTTTGTGATGATAATGATCAAAACTAACATACTAATCATAATAAAATATGGTTGCAATTTCAACCATGATGATCGTTATGATGATCTTGATCATATTTAGCATATTATTCAAGATAAATGATGAATACCATGGCAACCACTATCATCATTTTGATGAAAATGATCAAAATTAACATATGAATATGATAATCTTGATCATATTTAGCATATTATTCATGATAAATGACGGTTACCATGGCAACCATACATTTCATTATGATGATCTTGATCATATTTAGCATATTATTCATGATAAATGATGGTTACCATGGCAACCATAATTTTCATTATGATTATCTTGATTATATTTAGCATATTATTCATGAAAAATGATGGTTACCATGGCAACCATTATCATTTTGATGATAATGATCAAAATTATTATATCATTATGATGATATTGATCATATTTAGAATATTATCCATGATAAATGATAGTTACCATGGCAACCATAATTTTCATTATGATGATCTTGATCATATTTAGCATATTATTTACCATAAATGATGGTTGTTATGGCAACCATTATCATCATTTTGATGATAATATTCGAAATTAACATACTAATCATAATAAATTATGGTTGCAATTTCAACCATGATGATCATTATGATGATCTTGATCATATTTAGCATATTATTCATAATAAATGATGGTTACGATGGCAACCACAATTTTCATTATGATGATCTTGATCATATTTAGCATATTATTCAGGACAAATAATGGTTACCATGGCATCCATAGTTTTCATTATCATGATCTTGATCAGATTTAGCATATTATTCATGATAAATGATGGTTGCCATGGCAACCATTATCATAATTTTGATGATGATGATCAAAATTAACAAAATAATCATAATAAATTATGGTTGCAGTTTCAACCATGATGATCTTTATGATGATCTTGATCATATTTAGCATACTATTCATGATAAATGATTGTTGCCATGGCAACCATAATTTCATTATGATGATCGATCATATTTAGCATATTATTCATGATAAATGATGGTTACCATGGCAACCATTATCATCATTTGATGATAATGATCAAAATTTAACATATCATTATGATGATCTTGATCATATTAGCATATATCATGATAATGTTGGTTACCATAGCAACTATAATTTCATTATGATGATGTTTCGTCGGAATGAAACTTCCTTATTTACAGAAAATTGAGAGTCAAAGTCGATATAGTTTTCTTTTTATATTTCCTCTCGTCTTAACATCAAACTTCAACAACAAAAAAACCTCACGTGTTCATGACCATATATGGTCATGAGCTTAACTATTGTTCAAAATTATAAGAAGTTCAAGAACATCCCCCTTCTGAATATACAATATCGTCATGTTCACTGCTCATCAATCTCAAGGGGCACAAACGATGTATTGACCGTTTATAAATGTCTTCCCTTTCACTTCTGCTACACGTACTAAAGTCTCGCCTGATATACTTCCGTATACGTCCGATTGGCCAATCTCCTCTTTTAGCATTGCTTCAACCACTAATACCACGTCTCCTCTTTTAAATTTCTTTGTGATGATACCACTTGTTCGAATGTTCAGGCTTGGGAGAAATTCTCTAATCCATCTTTCCAAAATGACCGATCAATTGCTGCACTCGACGCCATCGCTTTGTTGGTTTCACGTATCCTCTTCATCAACCGCTTCTGCTGCGAATTGTCCTCAGTTGACCAACGATGAAATGATTTGGGGTTAGTGGAGTCAAATCATTTGGGTCGGAACTCACGTAGTAATCGGCCGTGAAGTGAGTAGTCCCTCGACAGCACATTGCCGTATGCAATTCTTCACTGTGATATCCGCTTCACCGACAATGCTCTTAATGCTTCTTCGCGCTTTAATCATCGCTTCGAATACCCCCCCCAAAATGGGGGGCCGCTGGAGGGTTGAACTTCCACATCGATTTGATTTCTTGAGGTTGTCGTGATAATTCTCCGTATCAGAGCTTGCACCAATGCCTTAGGTCTTTCTCCGCGGCCACGAATTGGTCCCGGTGTCGGATATCACATAACTCGGGTCCCCTTCTGATACCATCCGGAAAAGCGTTCAGAAATGCTTCGTGTCCAAGGAGTATGATATCTCTAAGTGTATGCCCGAGTTGCCAAACATGTAAAAAGGCACATGTACCTTTCTCTCGGTCTACGTCGCTCCTGCTTGGTATAGAATGGTCCGCCATAGTCATTCCGATGCGTTCGAACGCTCGTAGGTAACGTAGCCTGACTTGGGATGGGAGCCATTCTTGTCCTGTTTGTTGCCTTAATTCTCGACATCCTATACACTTTCAACGATATCGTACTGCTCGTTGCCCTTGACGATCCAGAAGCGTGATCTGACTTCGGTCAAGAGATGTTCCACCCTGAGTTGTGACCAAGTTTCTTGTGGCGGCCACGATGACTAGGGACGTAGTGGATGGTCTTTTGGTAAATATAGGGTTGGCGTCGTACGCAAGGTCGTTGGCAAATCGTAGTTGTCGCGGACCAAGACGACCGGTTAGCACAATTTAGATAAGCACATGTCCAAGGAAACTCGCAAATCGTATTATAAATATATAAACAATTCGATCTAGAAAAGAACAAATTAATACAAAGAATATTAATAAAAACATGCATATAAGTCCGATCAAGTCGCACGTGTGATCTAAATCACCCCTAATAATATGACCTAAACAACAATATAAATTCGATAGTTTACTTCTGTGGCGAGGTCCTTTAAGCATATACTTAATGATGGCGCAGGTTAGCTCGTCGTATTCTCTCAAACAGATACTTCACATACATACATACATTTACACATTTTCCGTCTCGCTTGCTCTATTTTCCTATCTCACTAATTATGTGCTGGTGTTAAATATTAATACTTGCCCTATATGACGTCATGGTCAAAGTTCATATCAAGCCTGCTCACATGTCTATCATGCCTAGTGAAGCTGTTCATCCAGTAGTCGTCCGTTCACTCACAAGAGACCAGCTTCGTCTGTATGGGGGCAGAGTTTAATCAGTCGTTTCTCTTTTTCACCGTTAGGGAACGCTTCGGTTTGCGCTCTTCTTATCCAGTAAGTCTCAGCCTCGGAGACTTCGTTTCGTGTAATGACGCCATTTTTCATTCGTCGCTCTTTCGGAAGTTTACAGTTCGTCAAGAAACGTTTTACCCAGGCTGTCACGCGTAACAGGCGGGATAAACTCGAAAACTTCTCTGGCACGAGACGGTCTTGAACATTTTCTAAATTCGCGCTGTCTGTTGCAAAGGAGGAGATGTTCGTTTTTTGTTCGCACTCTGTGTCTTCTCTTATGTGATCTTCTGGTAACTTTTTCGGCCAAGTCAACTCCTCTTCCTTCAGAATGTTTGGACCTTCCATCCACATCTGGCATTGTGACAACTGAGATGCTGATAGTCTTCTAGTTGGTAAATCCGCGGGATTAATTTCGCCCGGGATGTGTCGCCATTGGTCAGGATTCGTACTTCTTTGGATTTCTCCAATTCGGTTTGCTATGAACGTTTTAAAGTTCCTGCTTTGGTTTCGAACCCAGTATAGTACGTTCGTCGAGTCGACCCGAAATGTCACGCTTTCTACTTTTAATGTTCTTTTCAGCTTCTTTGCCAGACGAGTGGCGATTATTGCACCCATGAGCTCGAGTCTCGGGATCGTCATAGCTTTAACTGGCGAAACGCGACATTTGGAACTAATTAGACATGACGTCGGTAGTCGGTCGAGGTACTTGCACACCAAATATGCTGCTGCAGCGTACGCCACCTTGGAAGCGTCAGAGAAAACGTGAAGTTGGATGTCGGTTGGTCTTTCAAGGCGAAGGCAACGTGGAAAACTGATCTTGGGTATCTCTTGTAGCTCGGAAATCCAAAGGTTCCACTTGACTAATAATTTCGCTGGTAAAACATCGTCCCAATCCACACCAGCAGCCCAAATTTCTTGCATCAGTAACCTCGCTCGCACGGTAAAGGGTGACAGGAATTGGAGGGGGTCAAACAGCGACGCGATGCAGCTTAAAACATTTCTTTTTGTCGGAGAGGAATTTGTCGGTAGGTTGACTTGAAAGATAAACGTGTCCGTTTCGCATTCCATGATACTCCTAATGTCTTCTGTGTCGGTAGATTTTCGCCATCTCTGATCTCCACGCCTTGAGCACGGTCTTCTACTGAAACCTCGGCAAGAACGGACGGTTCGTTGGAAAGCCATTTTCTTGATTTGAATCCTGCATCGGATAGAACATCAGAAAGGTCACGTCGCAAGAAACATGCTTCCGAGACTGTTTCACACGAGTCCAGAACATCATCGACGTACATTGCATTTTCAATAGTCTCTGAAGCACTCGGTTTTTTTTCACTTACAGCTTTGGCATGCGTTTTTAAAACATATTGCGCACAAAATGGAGAGGATGCGTTTCCAAATGGGAGTCGTTGAAATTCGTAAACCTCAGGATCTTTCTCGTCGTCCAAGTCTCTCCAAAGAAATCTGTGATATGCACGGTCTTGCTGGCGGAGGCCGACCTGAAGAAACATCTGTGAAATATTGGCTGAAAGCGCTACGGGAGCACGACGGAAGCGACAAAGGACATCAACAAGATCTTGTTGCAGCTTAGGACCCGATAAGACTGCGTCGTTCAGGCATTTTCCGTCGTATTTCGCTGCCGCGTCAAATACGATTCGAACTTTCGTGGTAGCTTTGTCGTTCCGAATTACCGGAAAATGTGGGATAAACCATTGCTCTTCGGTTGATGGCGAAACTTTCCTGACGTAATTCTTCTTCACATACTCTTCGATGATTTCCTGGTAGGACGAGCTCACCTCTGCACCTTTCTTACGCAAAGATCTTTCCAGACTTACCAGTCTCGAAAGGGCTTGTTCGTAATTATTCGTAAATCTGGGCTCGTTAACTCTCCAAGGTATCCCAATCTCATATCGGTTGTCTTGCAAGTGATGTAGTGTCTCCTCCGCTGATTTGGTCGCTCGCGCTTCGTCTGGGGTTAGGGGTTTACTGTCTTCGTCTCGAATTCCCATCGAATCTAGTTCCCAGAACTTTCGTAACAGCTTGTTCGTTGTATCGTTGCCCTTAGTCTCATACTGGTCACTTTGGTAGGTGCGGGTGACATGGATCCGAGAATAATTGCGGACGTTTTCGGTGGAAGTCGGGCCAAAGCATACCCATCCAAGGTTCGTCTTTCGAGCGATTGGGTCATTGATTTCTGGTCCACATTTTTCCTGTGTGACGTGGTGGAATAAGGGATGGTCGCTCCCAATCAACAGGTCGATCTGACATCGATCTGACACTTTCTCGAACGGAATCTGCTTCAAGTGGGGCCACTTGTCTTTCAGTTCGGACCACTGTATGGCTGGCGTCGTACCGGTAATGCTGTCCAATACGTTTGCTTCAATTTCTGCGGAAAAACCTCCTTTGACATTGGAGACGATCAGTTGGACTCTTCGAGAGACTTTCTGCACTTCAGCACCCCCGGTTCCTGATATGGTTAAGTGTTGGGTATTTCCCTGTAGATTCAGTTCCTCTGCTGCACTTTCGGATATGTAGGAACCTGTCAAACATGGGTCTAGCATAATGTTCACTTTAAGCTTCTTTCGCGTGTCGGTCTTGGAAACGAAGCCAAGTAGTACCATCAATGACACTTTCTCAACTCGGTTGGTGTTGAACGTTTTGTTTTTCGCTTGATCTTGAGTCTCGTCACCAGAGTCATGGTTGCCATCTGTCGATGGTACACTGGGATCATGCAAATATCTACTATGCATTACACTCTTACAGCCGTTGATTCCACAGGGTATCTTTCTGGGGCAGCTTTTGCTTAAATGTCCTGATGCCAGGCAACAGAAACACCGTCCACTCTTCGCTATCAGTTCCTTTCGGTTGGCCACAGGTAAGCCTTTGAACAGCTGACAAACCCATGGTGGATGGTCTGCTTGACATGCCTCAACAATACATTTTCTAGGTTTTTTATCAGTATTAAGTCCACGATTGTTCTTTCTGTTGTCTGTTCTCGTCCCACATTTCACGTCGCTGCTCACTTCTTCCTTTACTTCATCTAATATTCGAACCTTCATCTCGATCCACTCAACCAGGGTTTGAAAACAATCTTCTTTGCTATGTTCGCACAGCCAATACTTATACGACTGGAGGTCCTCTTCTGATAACTTTTCTTTCGCTGTTAAGTTCAGATGTTGACTGTTTAGGTCTACATTATCTTGTATTGCTACGAGAATTTTGTCTAAGACTGTTAAAAAGTCCTCCATGTCTTCAAGGTTTCGACGTCGTAATTTCGGCCACCCACGGAGGCGCGTTAGTAAAGTGATAGCTAGTCTTCGTTCTCCACCAAATTTCTTGTCTAATTTCTCAAGAGCTCGCTTGTATGCATTCTCAGAGTATCCCAAGTCTTTCGCAATTTTGAGGGCTTTTCCAGTTAAACAGCTCTGTAATCGTAGCATCTTTTCTTTAACAGCGATATTTGCACCGTCTACAACCGACATATATGCTGCCTTCCATGATTCATATTCTGCTTTATCGTCCCCGGAAAAGGTAGGCAGCTCAACCCCTTTTAATTTAACTGCTTGTATACGTGTGGGTTCCACTTCCGTTTGACGATCTGTGTTCACTTCCGTTTGTACATTTCTTGTGAACTTCTCTTCGCCACTCTCTTCGCACGCCTGTTTTGCACGTTGTCTGTTTAAAGCAGCTACACGGCGTGCGTCCTCCGTTCGCTGTTTCCCCAGTTCTACGTTAGCGATATACTTCTTGAGGTCATTTTCCAATTTACGCTGTTCTTCTTCAAACTGTTCGAGTCTCTTTTCTCCTTCATCTGCGTCTTGTTGCCGTTTTTCTATCGCCGCTGCCGATGACCCTTTCAAACTTGATATAATGGATAAATCATCCTTTTCGCTTGTCTGACTCCTTTCCGTCTCTGGTTCACCCAGAATATGGATTCGTGTATGTAGAAGTTGCTCCGCTGTTGGTGTTAACACGTCCACTTCCCGAGATACGTCGTCCAATTCCTTGTCCAGTTGTTCGATTAAAATGTCCGTTTCTTGGTCGCCTTCTCCAAGTACAATATTCTCTTTCAGTGCACAGGTCACTTTTTCCAGGATGTTAAGTTCCGCTCTTGCTTTTGTTATGGCTCGTCTTATTGTCGTTTTGCCCGTCAAAGTTCCCTCTTTTGTCGCTTGTAACAACTCTTCAAGTCGTATTTTTAAACGCGTTTTAAATGCCTTTTCCCTGCCTTTTAGAACTCGAAAACGTTTACTTGCTGTACTCATCGATTCGTCAATATTGTCGTTTTCTTCGCTCTGTCTTTCTCGAGTTTCGTCGACCAAATCACCGTTGTCGCCATGTTTTTGTTGTCCGCCATACACCATCGCAAAAAATCTGTATATATTGTCTTTTTCCCGTTCGTCTGACTCTCAAACGTCTTACAGATCCAGCTCGAAGGACCACTAGTGTTCGTCTGAATGAAACTTCCTTATTTTACACAAAATTGAGAGTCAAAGTCGATATAGTTTTCGTTTTATATTTCCTCTCGTCTTAACATCAAACTTCAACAACAAAAAAAAACCTCACGTCTTCATGACCATATATGGTCATGAGCTAAACTATTGTTCAAAATTATAAGAAGTTCAAGAACAATGATCTTGATCATATTTAGCATATTATTCATGATAAATGATGGTTACTATAGCAACCACTACCATCATTTTGAAGATAATGATCAAAGTTAACATACTAATCATAATAAATTATCGTTGCAATTTCAATCATGATGATCATTATGATGATTTTAATCATATTTAGCATATTATTCATGATAAATGATGGTTACCATGGCAACCATGATTTTCATTATGATGATCTTGATCATATTTAGCATATTATTCATGATAAATGATAGTTACCATAACAACTTTATCATCATTTTGATGATAATGATCAAAATTACAATACTAATCATAATAAATTATGGTTGCAATTTCAACCATGATAATCATTATGATGATCTTGATCATATTTAGCATATTATTCCTGATAAATGATGGTTACCATGGCAACCATTATCATCATTTTGATGATAATGATCAAAATTAACATATTATTATGATGATCTTGATCATATTTAGCATATAATTCATGATAAATGATGGTTGCCATGGCAACAATAATTTTCATTATGATGATCTTGATCATATTTACCAAGTTATTCATGATAAATGATATTTCCCATGGCAACTTTATCATCATTTTGATGATAATGATCAAAATTAAAATACTAATCATAATAAATTACGGTTGCAAATTCAACCATGATGATCATTATGATGATCTTGATCATATTTAGCATATTATTCATCATAAATGATGGTTACCAAGGCAACATTAATTTTCATTATGATGATCTTGATCATATTTAGCATATTATTCCTGATAAATGATGGTTACCATGGCAACCATAATTTTCATTGTGATGATCTTGATCATATTTAGCATATTATTCATGATAAATGATGGTTACCATAGCAACCATAAGTTTCATTATGATGATCTTGATCATATTTAGCATATTATTTATGATAAATGATGGTTACTATGGCAACCATAATTTTCATTATGATGATCTCGATCATATTTAGCATATTATTCATGATAAATGATGGTTGCGATGGCAACCATTATCATCATTTTGATGATAATGATCAAAATTAACATACTAATCATAATAAATTATGGTTGCAATTTCAACCATGATGATCATTATGATGATCTTGATCATATTTGGCATATTATCACGATAAAATGATGGTTACCATGGCAACCATTATCATCATTTTGATGAAAATGATCAAAATTAATATATCATTATGATGATTTTGATAATATTTAGCATAAAATTCATGATAAATGATGGTTGCCATGGCAACCATAATTTTCATTATGATGATCTTGATCATATTTAGCATATTATTCATGATAAATGATGGTTGCCATTGCAACTTTATCATCATTTTGATGATAATGATCAAAATTAAAATACTAATCATAATAAATTATGGTTCAATTGCAACCATGATGATCATTATGATTATGTTGATCATATTTATCATATTATTCATGATAAATGATAATTACCATGAAAACCTTCATTTTCATTATGATGATCTTGATAATATTTAGCGTATTCATGGTAAATGCTTGTAACCATAGAAACCATTATTTTCATTATGATGATCTTGATTATATTTAGCATATTATTCATGATAAATGATGGTTGCTATGGCAACCATAATCATAATTTTAATGATAATGATCAAAATTAACATATCAATCATAATAAATTATGGTTGCAATTGCAACCATGATGATCATTATGATTATATTGATCGTATTTAGCATATTATTCATGATAAATGATAATTAACATAGCAACAATAATTTACATTATGATGATCTTATTTATATTTAGCATATTATTCAGGATAAATGATGGTTGCCATGGCAACCATAATCATAATTTTAATGATAATGATCAAATTAAAATACTAATCATAATAAATTATGGTTCAATTGCAACCATGATGATCATTATGATTATGTTGATCATATTTATCATATTATTCATGATAAATGATAATTACCATGGCAACCATAATTTTCATTTTGATGATCTTGATCATATTTAGCATATTATTTCTGATAAATGATGATTACTATTGCAACCATAATTTTCTTTATGATGATCTTAGATTATTCATGATAAATGATGGTTGCCATTGCAACCATTATCATCATTTTGATGATAATGATTAAAATTAACATACTAATCATAATAAATCATGGTTGCAATTTCAACCATGATGATCATTATGATAATCTTGATCATATTTTGCATATTATTCACGATAAATGATGGTTACCATGGCAACCATTATCATCATTTTGATGATAATGATTAAAATTAACATACTAATCATAATAAATCATGGTTGCAATTTCAACCATGATGATCATTATGATAATCTTGATCATATTTAGCATATTATTCATGATAAGTGATGGTTACTATGGCAACCATAATTATGATGATCTTGATCATATTTAGCATATATTCATGATAAATTATGGTTACCATGGCAACCATTATCATCATTTTGATGATAATGATCAAAATTAACATATCATTATCATGATCTTGATTATATTTAGCACATTATTCATCATAAATTATGTTTGCAATAGCAACCATAATTTCATTATGATGATCTTGATCATATATATCATTTTATTCATGATAAAGATGGTTACCATGGCAACCATAATTTTCATTATGATGATCTTGATCATATTTAGCATATTATTCATGATAAATGATGGTTGCTATAGCAACCATTATCATTATTTTGATGATAATGATCAAAATTAACATATTAATCATAATAAATTATGGTTGCAATTTCAACCATGATGACCATTATGATAATCTTGATCATATTTAGCATATTATTCACGATAAATGATGGTTACCATGGCAACCATTATCATCATTTTAATGAAAATGATCAAAATTAACAAATCATTATGATGATCTTGATCATATTTAGCATATAATTCATGATAAATGATGGTTGCCATGGCAATTATAATCATCAATTTTAATGATAATGATCAAAATTAACATATCAATCATAATAAATTATGGTTGCAATTGCAACCATGATGATCATTGTGATTATGTTGATCATATTTATCATATTATTCATGATAAATGATAATTACCATGGCAACCTTAATTTTCATTATGATGATCTTAATAATATTTAGCATAATATTCATGGTAAATGCTGGTTACCATTGAAACCATAATTTTCATTATGATGATCTCGATCATATTTAGCATATTATTCATGATAAATGATGGTTGCCATGGAAATCATTATCATCATTTTGATGATACTGATCAAAATTAACATACTAATCATAATAAATTAAGGTTGCAATTTCAACCATGATGATCATTATGATGATCTTGATCATATTTAGCATATTATTCATGATAAATGATGGTTACCATGGCAACTATTATCATCATTTTGATGAAAATGATCAAAATTAACATATCAATCATAATAAATTATGGTTGCAATTGCAACCATGATTATCAATATGATTATGTTGATTATATTTGACATATTATTCATGATAAATGATAATTAACATAGCAACTATAATTTTTCATTATGATGATCTTGATAATTTAGCATATTATTCATGGTAAATGCTGGTTACCATGGAAACCATAATTTTCATTATGATGATCTTGATCATATTTAGCATATTATTCATGATAAATGATGGTTACCATAGCAACCATAATTTCATCATGATGATCTTGATAATATTTAGCATATTATTCAGGATTTTATCCATAACTTTCATTATAATAATCTTGATAATATTTAGCATATTATTCATGATAAATGATGGTTGCAATGCCAACAATTATCATCATTTTGATGATAATGATCAAAATTAACATGATAATAATAATAAATTACGGTTGCAGTTTCAACCATGATGATCATTATGATGATCTTGATCATATTTAGCATATTTTATGATAAATGATGGTTACCATGGCAACTATAAGTTTCATTATGATGATCTTGATCATATTTAGCATATTATTCATGATAAATGATGGTAACCATGGCAACCATAATTTTCATTTTGATTATCTTGATCATATTAGCATATTATTCAATGATAAATGATGGTTACCATGGCAACCATAATATTCATTATGATGATCTTGATCATATTTAGCATATTATTCATGATAAATGATGGTAACCATGGCAACCATAATTTTTATTATGATGATCTTGATCATATTTAGCATATTATTCATGATAAATGATGAATACCATGGCAACCATAATTTTCATTATGACGATCTCGATCATATTAAGCATATTATTCATGATAAATTATGGTTGCCATGGCAACCATTATCATCATTTTGATAAAAATGATCAAAATTAACATAATAATTCTAATAAATTATGGTTGGAATTTTAACTATGATGATCATTATGATGATCTTGATCATATTTAGCATTTTATTAATGATAAATGATGGTTACCACTTTAACTATTATCATCATTTTTATGAAAATGATCAAAATTACCAGATCATTATGATGATCTTGATCATATTTAGCATATTATTCATGATAAATGATGGTTACTATGGCAACTATAATTTTCATTATGATGATCTTCATTATATTTAGCATATTATTCATGATAAATGATGGTTACCATGGCAACCATTATCATCATTTTGATGATAATGATCAAAATTAACATATCATTATCCTTATCTTGATTATATTTAGCATATTATTCATCATAAATTATGTTTGCCATGGCAACCATAATATTCATTATGATGATCTTGATCATATATATCATATTATTCATGATAAAGAGTTACCATGGCAACCATAATTTTCATTATGATGATCTTGATCATATTTAGCATATTATTCATGATAAATGATGGTTGCTATGGCAACCATTATCATTATTTTGATGATAATGATCAAAATTAACATTCTAATCATAATAAATTATTGTTGCAATTTCAACCATGATGATCATTATGATGATCTTGATCATATTTAGCATATTATTTATGATAAATGATGGTTACCATGGCAACCATGATTTTCCATATGATGATCTTGATCATATTTAGCATATTATTCATGATAAATGATGGTTACCATAACAACCATTATTTTCATTAAGATGATCTTGATCATATTTAGCATATTATTCATAATAAATGATGGTTTAAATGGCAACCATAATTTTCATTTTAATGATCTTCATCATATTTAGCATATTATTCATGATAAATGATGGTTACCATGGCAACCATTATTTTCATTATGATGATCTTGATCATATTTAGCATATTATTCATGATAAATGATGGTTACCATGGCAACCATTATTTTCATTAAGATGATCTTGATCATATTTAGCATATTATTCATGATAAATGATGGTTACTATGGCAACCATGATTTTCATTATGATGATTTTGATCATATTTAGCATTAACAAAATTAACATATCATAATCATGATCTTGATCATATTTAGCATATTACTCATGATAAATGATGGTTGCTATGGCAACCATAATTTTCATTAAGATGATCTTGATCATATTTAGCATATTATTTATGATAAATGATGGTTACTATCAACCTCGTTCCCAGGGCCAATTTCAAAAGAGGGGGAAGGGGGAAATTGGCCCTGGCATCGGCCGGTCACGTGTTTTCAGAACACCCACGTATAGTGGGTGTTCTAAATTAACATAAATTAAACATATGAATAATTAGCGAAAGACATTCAATATGGCGTATTATTCTGATGAAGTAGGGTTCCTTGAACTTTTCAAGAGAGTGCAAGTTTGCCAACAGCGGAGAAATTTTCCTTCTATAAATTTTAAACCTTTGCAAATGAAATGCCTGGAGTATTTGCTTAAAGGATGTGATGTTATTGGCGTACTCCCGACAGGTTTTGGGAAATCTATGCTTTTCCATCTGCTGCCAGATCTAATTCCCGTAAAATCACGAAAAAATATAGTAATTGTGATTTGTCCTCTAAACTCTATTGTGGAAGACCAGCTGAGGGTGCTGAGTGCAATAAATATTTCCGCTGGGGTCATACAATTTGCCATTAACGAGCGGAAACCGGCTGAAGACTTGTTCACGGAAGGTAGTGAAAATCGCAAAATTCACTTGAAGGAAACGCTGATGGATATAGAACAAGAAATAGTAAATGGCAATACTTCCATTGTATTTGCACACCCGGAAGCCCTGTTGAAATCTAAAGGAAGGGAACTGATGGGAAGTAAAGTGTTTCAAGAGAACGTTGTTGGTTGTGTAATAGATGAGGCTCATTGTGTCGAGTTATGGTATGTAATTGTAAGTCGTTCCTTCAGCATTTAACTCTAGTGTGATGTTTGCCCAATCATGCATACTTGCACGTATTGCATTAAGAATTAGTTGCAAAACGCTTTCTGACGTTTTCTTGATTAAAATATCTTCTGGTGTTGGTGATTGAGGTAAATTCAATCATATATTATTTTGTTTGTTATAAGTTTATAATAGGAGGTAATGTTTATTCAGCCATGGTTAGTCGCTGATGTTGTACTAATGAATATTTTAGGGGGAAAGAGTTAGAAAGATTTTGGTGAACTGTCTATTTTAAAAGCATTTTTCCCTAATGTTCCAACCCTGGCTTTAACAGCTACAGCCCCACCTCATTTATTAAATGATTTAAAACACAAACCCAATTGAAAAAAGACTGCAAGATTGTTACAGTAAACCCAAACAGAGAGAACATATATCTTGGAAAGAAAGTACGTTCAAGTGATCACAAAAAGTTTGAAAGTTATAATGAAATTCTGGGACCTGTTGCAAAGGAACTATTGATTAAAAAAGAAAACTACCCAATGACAATTATCTATATGAAACTGAAATACTGTGCACATGCCTACCGATTGTTTGAAAGAATTCTGCAAGATGAACAGTATGTTAATGGATGTGAAGAACCTATGGCAAGACTTTTTGCCCAGTTTCATTCTCCCCAAACAAGTCGAATGAAAAGGGAATTAATTGAAGAAATAAAGAAAAAGGACTCAAGGGTCAGGGTACTGTTTGCAACATCAGCACTTGGTATGGGTGTTGATGCCCCATATGTTGCTCAAGTGATTCACATATCCCCTCCAAATACTTTAGAAAGTTACATGCAAGAGATTGGTCGTGCTGGTCGTACTGGTATTCAGTCATATGCAACATTATATTACAACAATTCTGACATTGGAAGTCATAAAAAGCATATTCAAGAATCAATGAAGAGCTACTGCAAGTCAAGAGAAGTCTGCTTAAGAAAGCAGCTTCTAGAATATTTTGGATTTACTACACCACGGCAAGAAAATTGTTGCTCTGTATGTAATGAGGGTATACAAATACTGTTGTCAGCTTAGAAGTTTCTAAAGTGAGGCGTCTACAAGGTGATGGTACTGTTTTGGTGAGCCTGATCAATAGTGTCTTGTCCAACTATCAGTCTGAAGAAAAATCAGAGTGTTTGTTAATTCCTTCAATGTTAATTGATGAATACCTAGCTGAAAGGGTTGTGATGCAAATTGAGTACATTGAATTGGAATCAGACCTCCTTAACAATTTTGGCATATGGGATGAAGTATGTTCTTCCAAGATATTCTCTATCATAAATGAGCACACTTGTTTAATCAAGTGATGTCACTATAAGGTATTAGATGATATGTATGTGCCATTACATTGGTGTAGCAAGCCTGATGATTTTGTCCTGCTATGCAAATGTAAGTCATTATAATTATTCATTTCTGTAGAAATTCATTGTTTTCACAATCAATGAACAACAAGATATTAGCATAGGATGACCTAATGTCCGGCTAGCTGCTACTGTATCAACAGAAATTGCTCATGTTCAAACAATTTCGTTGAATAGTTGTTCCAAACAAGTTTACTTAGAACTTCAGATGACTCTTTACCTAACACTTTTGTCATAATCACATATTCTTTTACTTCACAGAGAGTTAATTACCATTTCTTAAACCTATAAAGGGTACTATTTCAAAGAACAACTCAATTTGGAAATTCAGTTTTGTGCTTATCTAGCCATTTATGAAATTCGACTACATTCAAGTACTTTAATGGACTCTTCTTAATGTTTGGAAAACTGTCATGATGCCTTTCTGGAACATGATTAAAAGGATCCAATTGCACAATCTCATTTACCATCTCTTTTTCATCCTTTAGGGATCACGGGTTGTATGCTTTACAGACTTCGCATGGATATGTAGAGAGGCATCAAACTGCTCTACAAGAAGATGTATACCAGAACTTGCCTTACAAACTTTGCTTATTGAAGCCATGGTTTTGTTTGGGCCCATTCTTTGGACAATACACTTGCCAATTCGATTTGAAATTTCTTGGGCCAAGTCATCTTCAATATTATTTCCGATGCCCCTCTCCAGTTCGAAAAAAATCCCCATTTAAACTCTTCTGAGAGACGAGGTGTAAGCATGCATTCAATTTGAGATATACTAACGAACATTTCAACCGCGTATTTGGAATATGATCCCATCGATTTGAAAACTGATAACAAGAGCTTTTGGTTGATCAAATTACGGTGACCATCGCCTTCCGCTGAAGTGTCTTTCATTTGCATGATCAGAACAGCCAAAAAAATACAGGAAAGAGCATAGTTTTTTACATAGTCATCTGCACCATCGCAATCATCAGCATCAACTTTCTGTAAAACATATTTGTCGACAAATTTTCCGAAAGCATCATCAAAATATTCTTTCTTTGACGATACGCTGCCATGTACAATATTGTCGGGAAATTGATGTGATGATGGTTTATCAGAGAAGTTGTTCATCCCGAAAAAATTTAACGCAGCAGAAACAATGTACGCTCTACCCATGCTGAGAAATAATTCTTCACTTCCTTCAAAAGAGTCGAGAACTTTGGAAGCGGTTGCATTTTTCCTGTTATACTTCTCTCTAAAGTATTTAAGAGTGCCTACTTGATTTACAGAATCAGACTTGTAAAGAAATGAATAGGAGTACTGTAGGAGCGATGCTTTAGTGTGCCACATGACCGGTTTAAAGGGCGAGCAATGTTCGAAACGATCAAGGGTGTGTGTGATCCAGCCAGTAAGTCTTTCGCTCCTGCAAACCTTACTCGAGTTAACTGATCACCTGCAAATGCTATCTTCATCTCGCGCATTGGGTCATCGATCGTATCTCGTCTATGAGCATCAGTCTGGCCAGGTGCTGCAGAACCAGAAGGAACAGGTGGATTATCCATCACTGGCATTTCATTAAGCATTCCGGCTTTAAAATAGATTTCTGCAATCCACTTTTCGTAAGTCCTCAAAATCGTTGCGCAATCTTCTTACTTCGCTTCGTTGGCATTTATGATAGGTAAGCTTACTATAGTTGACTTTCTTGACATTTCTTTAGTATAATCATGAGGAATATGCGTTGGAATCACAGGTTTCAAGAACTTGAACGAGGGAAAAAATCAAGGATAATCCGACCAACAAGGACCTTAGCACATTCTGCATATTTCTTCATTTCATTTATGTTCAATGAAAATTTGCTTCTTGGAAATTCCTTTATGTTTCCTATTGGCTTGTCATTTGGCAAATGTTTGAAACTCACCCTATTTTCAATTAGGTTACTCGCAAACAAATGTAAGTCTTCATTCTGAATCTCCTTTCTCATATGTCCTTTTAGAATCTTCAAATCCCAATTGTCGCCAGTGCCTCTGAAAACCTTTCCTTCTTTGACTTTCTCAACAACAACATCTGAGAAGTGACCTCCTACTAGACTGAAAAGCATTTCCCTCCTCCCAGGAGACAAGCACACGCCAAGCTTATTCAGCCTTTCTTGAAGCTAAGAACAATGAAATGAATAAAATATTTGTACTTTTCATAAGTCAGCTTTGTCCCAAAACCTATGAGTTGGATTATAAAAGTGAATATATTTATGCACATCATGTTTGTTGATATACTTGGTCTTCTGGCTTTGAAAGGTGAATAGCACTGTCTGCTGGAATGTGATTTTTGAAGCCTTCAATTGCAGGGCAATAATTTTTTAAGCCATGATTTATCATAACATAAAACTAGGGTACCAGCAAAGTAGGGTGAATATAAGCCATTTTAATCTTTTTGTCTATGTTTCATGTTTCTTAACAATCAATCAACAACGAAAGTGTGGACTACATGTAACTTAATGTTGACACTTTGCTAGCAATCATGACTAACATGAAGTAATTATTTTATGATTTCTGTGTGATCATTTCTATTCTTATATACCATACATAAAATACTGCTACTGTGACTTTAAATCAAGCTTTGCAAACCTAACTTGGTTAAAATGGTATATTAGAAAAAGATAGAGAAGCCTTTGAAATTTTCATCATTGTTTATCTGACAAACTGAAGGGTAATTGTGTTGTTTATTTCATTACAAATATATATTCTCAAACTGCCATGTGGCTCAGAAATTATTATTGTTTTGTAAAACATTTGTATTAGGAGGACATGTCACCCTTTTTAACAGAAACAAATTTCCAACTTCTACTTAACGTTTTACGCAGAATATGTTTCCAAAATTGTCCGTCTATAGGGGTTTATTGGTACCTGTTTGCTATATCCACCCTCAATGATTAGTAAAGTTATCATTCGCCTTACATAAGTAAGTTCATGCCATCTCTCATTCATAAGAACAGAGTACAAAAAGGCATATTTCACTCGCAGTCCAAGTTCCATATCTTCGAAACTATCAACGTTATCAGCTACTGCGCTCATCAATTCCACTAGGAAAGGTTGGTTTGTTTTCAGTTCCTCCCAGATATTGTTGAAATCGAAATCTCTTAAGCTTGCGAAATCTTTGCCATACAAAACGGATCCATTTGAACGCTTACACAGTTTTGCGCAAGATTGTCGTACGTCTTTACATAGCAGCTTTTTCATGGCATTCAAAACATTTGGACACTGTTCTTTTAAAATAGTTGCCAGCACAGAAGCATCCCTGCTGCTTAACGCTTGGGTTATCATTTGTTGTTGCCTTTCCGTCAATAATAATACCGCTTGCGTGTCTAATTTAAATGAGCCATCTGATTCCGAAGCTGGCTTCGGCAAGAGAGCTAGTTGTTGCGTTCTAAATTGTGGATCTAAAGGCGATAGGTCCTTCATTGGTTCAGTGCCATCAGCTCTTTCGAAAAGCACTTTCGGTAGTTTTGAACTTGCAGTTATTTGATGAGAACGCTTAGCGAGTCGTTGAGATGGCGATTGCTCTATGCATCGTTTCACAGAGAATTCATCTAGCGGCTTTTCTTGCAATGACTGAGCCTTTCTAATAAAGGCTTCCATCTTATCCATGAACGTTATGCATTGCCGACACAACACTTGCGAGTTATTTTTATCATCAGAAATAGCTATACCACAAAGTTTTTGTACTTTAGCACACAAATCTTTAGACGAACCAGCTTTCCCGAATATCCGCACCATATGACGTCTTGCTGGACAGCTACCACAAAGAAAGCCAGCTGGATTTCTAACTGAAATTTTAGTCGGTGTGACGTTTGTAACATGAGATTCCGCCATGGCGCCATCATAAAATAATTTTAATTATTTTGCGCTGGTTCAACTTTGCATAAATTAACAATACTTGCAAGCCAATCAGAAGCCATAATCGACCGGCCGATGCCAGGGCCAATTTCCCCTTTCCCCCTCTTTTGAAATTGGCCCTGGGAACGAGATTGGGTTACTATGGCAACCATAATTTTCATTATGATGATCTCGATCATATTTAGCATATTATTCATGATAAATGATGGTTGCCATGGCAACCATTTTCATCATTTTAATGATAATGATCAAAACTAACATACTAACCATAATAAATTATGGTTTCAATTTCAACCATGACGATCATTATGATGATGTTGATCATATTTAGCATATTATTCACGATAAATGATGGTTACCATGGCAACCAAAATTTTCATTTTGATGATCTTGATCATATTTAGCATATTATTGATGATAAATGATGGTTACCATGGCAACCATTATCATCATTTTGATGAAAATGATCAAAATTAACATATCATTATGATGATCTTGATCATATTTAGCATATTATTCATGATAAATGATGGTTACCATGGAAACCATAATTTTCATTTTTATGATCTTAATCATATTTAGCATATTATTCATGATAAATGATTGTTACCATGGCAACCATAATTTTCATTATGATGATCTTCATCATATTTAGCATATTATTCATGATAAATGATGGTTACAATGGCAAACATAATTTTCATTATGAAGATTTTCATCATATTTAGCATATTATTCATGATAAATTATGATTGCTATGGCAACCATTATTATCATTTTAATGATAATGATCAAAATTAACAGATCAATCATAATAAATTATGGTTGCAATTGCAACCATGATGATCAATTATGAAGATCTCGATCATATTTAGCATATTATTCATGATAAATGATAATTACCATGGCAACCATAATTTTCATTATGATGATCTTGATCATATTTAGCATATGATTCATGATAAATGATACTTGATCTTATTTAGCATATAATTCATGATAAATGATGGTTACCATGGCAACCATAATTTTCATCATTTCGATCTTCATTATATTTAGCATATTATTCATGATAAATGATGGTTACCATGGAAACTATAATTTTCATTATGATGATCTTGATCATATTTGGCATATTATTCATGATAAATGATGGTTGCCATGGCAAGCATTATCATCATTTTGATGATCTTGATCATATTTAGCATATTATTCATGATAAATGATCGTTACCATG